TTAGTGATCGAAAGTTTAATGCGAAATAATCACTCGGTTAGTCATGATCGGATAAATGGATAGAAATAAATAAGTTATCTGATGAACAAGAATACATTTATTAAGACTAACACGAACTACAACAATGTATTTTCATATTCGAAAACCATCCGCGCCATCACGCATATGCCAGGTGAACTTTGATTTCATCAAAATAGGAAAAGACGATAAGTTGTTTGTTTTAAGTGGTTAAAAAGCCAGCGTTTCCCAATCTTTTCCGCCAGTGGAACCCTAAATAATCAACCTTCTTTCGGCGGTACCCTGACTTTATAAATGAAGTTTATTAAGGTTACAATGAACGTTATACTTCATAAAAGATTATTTTTAAGTTATTAAAACAGAGTAATGAAGATTTTTCATCGTTTGATCACTATTGTAAATAGCATTATTAAAAGTTTTTTGTTATAAACCAAAGCATGCTTGCAAGAATTTCGCAACATCAAATGAATGACAGAAATAATAACATATCCTTGTACTACTGGAATACTTAGAAGGAAAAAAAAGTTCGAACAAGAATTTATCTCATACCTCTTCTTCAAAGAGACAGAGTTTGTTTTATGTATTTGCTTAGTAGGTACTAATCATTACGTTGATATAAGTAAAGAAAATATTTTGTTGGGAATTGGATGTTATTCTTAACTTTTTGAAAATAAGTAGAGAAAAAAAAAAATTTTTTTTTGGTTAAGTTACTGATGAGGTTAAATATCGGAAATGTCAGTGATCGGAAGTGCCACTGGAAAATCTTGTGCTGTTTGAGACACACAATTTGCTGTTTAATTTTCCGCAATTTCTGCAGATTTTAATTAATGACGACAGAAAATTAATTTGATGTTTTTTTCGATTTCCCCTTATTATTAAAAAAACAATATTTTCAATTATAGAGATCTTAATTTTGACGTCGAGCCGATTTTTACCCTTCTCGGCAATTTAATTCGAATTAACCAGTTCAATATTCTTATAGCATCTTTTAATCTCTTTAACATTAGACACGTATTCAAGATTAATTTATTTTTGAAAAGAAAAGTGTATAAATGAAATGCTTTGTTTTACTGCTTTATATTGTAATAATAATATGGAAATTACTACGGAATTACTCTTCGAGACTTGAGAAAAGCTTTTCTATTTGTTGGTATCAAGCTTTACTGTTTGTTGGTATCCCAGAAGAGCTAACTTTTGATCCCACACGTGATTACAGGGCGGACTCTCCCAATATCTGACTCGTCGCATTTTAATTTGTTTCTGATTTAAAATTTACAACATGAGCAAATCTTACAAAATAATAATCCGAAGTAACTTTTTAATGCCATCGATCATTTTAATTGTAATTGATGACATAAAATAAGTCTAGAAACCGAAAGAAACGTAACATACTTATGAGCTCTATATGTCTCATTTGCTGTGGGATATTTGAAAGCTAAAATTTGCCCTCGATTCAAAATTACGGCATATTAGGCAACTGATTCGCTAGAAACAATTTATCAAGAGAAGGCAAGATGATCAAAATCCTTGAAAAATGCTCAAAATAGTCCCCATTTTGCGAAGAAATAACTAATTTCTTTTAAATTTCTAAGTATAGGAGTGGGTGGGACAAGGTTATCCCCAGTATAACGCCCCTGCTAAATCAGGTATTGAGGCTTAAAAAGTCGGTATACCTCTGGACTTAGTGGAGCAGTCAGGATACGGTGAAGTCTATAAACACCTGGATACAGTGGAGAAATCGGTGTATCGCTGGATACAGTGGATGAGTTAGTATACCCCTGGATGCAGGGAAGCAGTAAGAATACCCCTGGATGTAGTGGTAAAGTCTGTATGGACCTCTAGACATACTGGAGAAGTCAGTATGCTATTGAATACAGTGGATGAGTCAGTATACCCCAGGATACAATAGAGCAGTCAGCATATCCCTGGATACAGTAGAGAAGTCGGTAAACACCTCTGAATACAGTAGAGAAGTCGGTGTATCGCTGGATACAGTGGATGAGTTAGTGTACCCCTGGATACAGTGAAGCAGTCAGAATACCCCTGGATGCAGTGGTGAAATCTGTATGAACCTCTAGACATATTGGAGAAGTCAGTATGCTATTGAATACAGTGGATGAGTCAGTATACCCCAGAATACAATAGAGCAGTCAGCATACCCCTGGATACAGTAGAGAAGTCGGCAAACACCTCTGAATACAGTAGAGAAGTCGGTGTATCACTGGATACAGTGGATGAGTTAGTATACCCCTGGATACAGTGAAGCAGTCAGAATACCCCTGGATGTAGTGGTAAAGTCTGTATGGACCTCTAGACATACTGGAGAAGTCAGTNTTGTTTCTAATTTGAAATTTACAACATGAGCAAATCTTACAAAATAATAATCCGAAGTAACTTTTTAATGCCATCGATCATTTTAATTGTAATTGATGATGTAAAATTAGTCCTAGAAACCAAAAGAAACGTAGCATACTTATGCGTTCTGTAGGTCTCACTTGCTGGGATGTTTGAAAGCGAAAATTTGCACTCGATTCAAAATTACGGCATATTGGCCAACTGAATCGTTAGACTTATCAAGCGAAGGCAAGATGATCAAAATCCTTGAAAAATGTTCAAAATAGTCAATATTCCTTGAAGAAATTACTAATTTCTCTTAAATTTCTAAGTATAGGAGTGAGTGGGACAAGATTATCCCCTGTATAACGCCCCTGCTAAATCAAATCTTGAGGTGTAAGAGTCGGTATACTTCTGGATACAGTGGAGCAGTCAGAATACAGTGAAGTCTGTAAACACCTCTGGATACAGTGGAGAAGTCGGTGTATCGCTGGATACAGTGGATGAGTTAGTATACCCCTGGATACAGTGAAGCAGTCAGAAGACCCCTGGATGCAGTGATGAAGTCTGTATGGACCTCTAGACATATTGGAGAAGTCAGCATGCTATTGAATACAGTGGATGAGTCAGTATACCCCAGATTACAATAGAGCAGTCAGCATACCCCTGGATACAGTAGAGAAGTCGGCAAACACCTCTGAATACAGTAGAGAAGTCGGTGTATCACTGGATACAGTGGATGAGTTAGTATACCAATGGATACAGTGAAGCAGTCGGTATACCCCTTTATACAGTGGAGCAGGCAGTATACCCTTGGATACAGTGGAGCAATCAGCATAACCGTGTATACAGTAGAGAAGTCGGTATACCTCTGGTTACAGTGGAGGAGTCTGTATATCTCTGGATACAGTAGGGAGTCGATAAACCTCTGGAGACAGTAAGGGGTTCAGTATACCCCTAGATATAGTGAAACGGTCAATATATTTCTTAAGCTTAAAAGCTTGGAGACCCCTGTTATGAACTGAAATGGTGTGACAGAGAAGAAAAAAAAGAATTTTCCCTAAAAGTGAACGACTTACTGATGTAGTTCATTGATTTATTATAATTTATTTGTAATGCTGCTCTTCCTTTTTATCTAAAGAAAAATATTGCATAAAGACGGCAAAAAGCTTCTTAAAGTAGGTGTTATGGTTTCGTGATGCTTCCAGAACTATCACTATGTTTGAACATCTGGTTTTACGCAGACCTTGGAAACGGATTTCCATCGCCTAATGGTATTCAACTTCGTAAGATATGCACATAAAATAGCGAGACCTTTTTATTTCATTAAATTTGCGCTCATATTTTTGAGAATCTTTTTTTTTTAATCGAATTGTGTTTAAATCCTTAGGTAACAGTTCTGACTATATTATGATACACCAAATTCACGTATAAATCATTTGATTGACAATCGGTATTAAGAAACTATAATATTATTGAACTGATGAATTTAAAATCAGGTCATCAACAGTTGAGATGATCTATTTTAGGACTCTTTGATTCTTTTGATTTAAACTAAAAAAGAATTATTAATAAAGTTCGCACTCTCTTATACGTATATATTTTCTTAAAAAAAATTACATATTAAAGAGAGTTCTAATTCATATTTGTTATCTGATACAGCAAAAGTGAATGCAAATTTCAAAAACAACATTTACAAGATTAAAAAAAAATTATATTTTCATTCATATTAGTTACTGTAGCAAAATTTAGTTAACTTCTAAAGTTGTAGCTCGTTTTTTTAAAATTATTATTATTGTTAAAGCCACTATTACCACTAAAAAAAGTAAATGACCAAATTAGTTATCAACATAAAATCCTTTTCCAGGATAAATGCATACTTTTAAATGTCTTTTATAAACAAAAATTATTGCCGAATCCATTAAAAATGTGAAAGATTCAATATGTGAATGATTCAATAATTCCGAATGTGAATGATTCAATAATTATTTACGATTCAAGACACAATACCAATGAAAGGAAAACAAATAATTTACAAGTTCAATTTATTTCTTGAAATAAATTATAAGGCATCTAACAAATAAAATTTTTTTGCATCATAATCGTTTTTTTTTTTTTTTTTTTTTTTTTTTTTTTTTTTTTTTTTTTNTTTTTTTTCCTTTTTTTTTTTTTTTTTTTTAAGTATTAAGAACTTAAAAAGACATGTTTGTATCGTTTTTTTTAAATTTTATCTATTTATTTGTTTGAAGAAAAAAACTGAGACGTTCTTATTTATTTATTTTCAATCTGATGAGTCTGGGCCCTGGGGATACTACCATTTTAAACAGTTTTGTACCCTGCTTTAATTTTTCTCGATCTCAGCGCCATCTGTGAAGCAAATAAGATTATTTTTTGTGAGGAATCCTAATCTGGAATAAAAAATAGGCGTTGATATTTAAAATTTCAAAGTTGCCCGAAGAGGGTGAAAAATCTAGTTTGGAATTGGCTAGTTTGGGTAGCTTTTTAAAAAAATATATTGAATGCGTCGATTTACCATTTTTCGTTCCACTGTATATTCCACTGTTGACAGTTTTCAAATTCTTTTTACACCCTGTATATTTAGAATATGATTTTTGTGTATTAATAATGTTTTTGTTTTGTCCTTGCAGCTTTGTTGTCTGTGTGGTGCGAAGAGCACGGTAGGTTACTTCTTTTACGTCATCAAAAGACGCGGGACGGAGACGTTGCGGCTACTGTCAAAACTGAACCATCTGACAATATGCACCAAACACTTCAAAAGCCGCCACCTCCCACCGCACCTCAAAGGTTAGTTTAATAATCACTTTTTTTTATTTTGTATGATTTTGTGTATAAGCTTGGTTTTTGCGAAGGCCGTTTTTCGAAGGCTCCGTCGTAATATGAAATGATGCTCCTTTGCAACGAAAATGTTATTTTTAGAACTGCTGTGAGCTTGCAACTGTTACTTATGGCTGTTAGGTCGAGTTCAGCTATGTAAAGCCAGCGCTTTCTACTGTTATTTTGTAAATGGCTCAAAACTTCAATATAGAGGATAGCCACAGTTTTGTAAAAATAAAAAGCGTTTGTGGTCTTATTTTTTAATATTTAAAAACTTACTCCAATACTGCATTGCTTGGATTCATAAAAATTTGCAAAAGCTGAGAATACTGTAGAGATTTTGATAATTTTCATCTACGTGAAAAAATTTCGCCAAATTTTTTGAAAAAGTTTAATAACTTTTAAAATATTTAAGTTATTTGTCTGTTCTAAAGCCCAGATAATTCTTCACGGCAAGATTATATATATTTAGTTTAAAATCTAATTAAATTTAGTTTCCTTAACGGCAGAGCCTCGGGGGGGAAAAAAACTTTTTTTTAAAAAAAATTTAATATTTTGCATGTTTCAGTCCTAAACAGTTTTAAAATAGGTCAGTAAAAATAAGATTCGATCACAGATTTGAAAAAAAAAATAAATAAAAAAATAGGTGTTGGTGATGAAGCTGCGCTTAATTGAAGGAGTAAATTTATTCAGAACTTTCAAATGTTTTTACTTAAGTCTGTGACACAGAATTTTTATTAAATATATTATATTTAGCTTTTTAATAATTTATAGTTATGAAATATAGCATAAAATACCTGCGTCTTTTTCTTTGTTAAAGGTAAACATCTTCCAAATTAAGCTCACTTCCAAATAAAAAAAAATTTTAAATTTCCATTCATTTGCAGATCTAAGATGAACGATTAACGGCCTTGAAATTTCTTTAATTTACAAAATCAGTTATTGATAAATTTTTGAACTTAATATTATTAAAACTTAATTTTGAATATTATATTATAGTACGAATATAATTCCGATAATCTAAGAGATTTTTTTAGTAATTTAGACTGTTTTAGACTGTTTTAGTAATTAAGACTGTTTTTTTTTTAAATTAAAAAAATCCAAAGATATATTTTTGCTTGTAATTAGAAGGACAGGAAAAAATATATAAAAGGGACACCGCTGTCCAATATGCGTCAAGGAGTTAAAAACATTTTCGAAATCGGTCAATACCAATAAATAATTCAATAAAAAACCGATCAATTAATTTATTGCTATTCTTTGTGCTTTTATTGCGTTATTTCTTCATTTATAACTAATCTCCTTTTTTATTTACTGATGGTTTTCAATAGTTTTGTGTACATTTTTAATTAAAATTCGCCTTCGAGAATATTTCAGATCCTTTTTATACCTTTCGAATTTTTATTTGTTACTTTTTGACGAACGTTGTGAGCTATTTTATCAAGACCACAAACTTCCTGCTTCGTTGTGAGCTTTTTTTGTGCAGGCAGTTATGTTAAGCAAGGCTCGCTTCGGTAGGAATGAAATTGGTCAGCTAAAATTTAATTTCAAATTACGTTAAAAAAATAATAAATCTCTCGCTATTTCACACTTTTCTTTTAAAAACAAATGAATGCTCAAAGCAATTTGAAGGTTGATAAAATTTTTGCTGCAATAATTCGCGTAAATTTGCTGCAATAATTCCGTNCTGTAGGTCGAGTTCAGCTATGTAAAGCCAGCGCTTTCTACTGTAGGTCAAGTTCAGCTATGTAAAGCCAGCGCTTTCTACTGTTATTTTGTAAATGGCGCAAAACTTCAATATAGAGGAAAGCAACAGTTTTGTAAAAATGAAAAGCCTTTGCGGTCTTATTTTTTAATATTTAAAAACTTACTCCAATACTGCATTGCTTGGATTCATATAAATTTGCAAAAGCTGAGTATACTGCAGAGATTTTGATAATTTTCATCTACGTGAAAAAGTTTAATAACTTTTAAAATATTTAAGTTACTTGTCTGTTCTAAAGCCCAGATAATTCTTCACGGAAAAATTATATATATTTAGTTTAAAATCATCGCATTGCTTCAAGTGTAAGGCTATAACTATAGGCTTATTTTCCTTAGCGGCAGAGCCTCGGGGGAAAAAAAAAAACTTTTTTTTTAAAAAAAAAAAAGTTTAATATTTTGCATGTTTCAGTCTTAAACAGTCTTAAAATAGGTCAGTAAAAACAAGATTCGATCACAGATTTGAAAAAAATAAGAAATAGATGTTGGTGATGAAGCTGCGCTTAATTGGAGGAGTAAATTTATTCAGAACTTTCAAAGGTTTTAACTAAAGGTCTAACTTAAGCCTGTGACATGTAATTTTATTAAACATATTATATTTAGCTTTTTAATAATTTATAGTTATGAAATATAGCATAAAATGCCTGCATCTTTTTCTTTGTTGAAGGTAAACATCTTCTAATGAAAGTTCACTTCCAAACAAATAATTTTTTCAATTTGCATTCATTTGTAGATCTGACATGAACGATTATACGGCCTTGAAATTTCTTTAATTTACAAAATCAGTTATTGATAAATTTTTGAACTTACTTGAATATTATATTTTAGTACGAATATAATTCCGATAATCGAAGAGATTTTTTTAGTAACTATTAGACTGTTTTTTTAAAATTAAAGAAATCCAAAGATATATTTTTGCTTGTTATTAGAACGTCAGAAAAAAATATATAAACGGGACACTGCTGTCCCATATGCGTCAAGGAGTTTAAAACGTTTTCAAAATCGGTCATTACCAATAAATAATTCAATAAAATACCGATCAATTAATTTATTGCTATTTTTTGTGCTTCTATTGCGTTATTTCTTCATTTATAACTAATCTCCTTTTTTATTTACTGATGGTTTTCAATAGTTTTGTGTACATTTTTAATTAAAATTCGCCTTCGAGAATATTTCAGATCCTTTTTATACCTTTCGAATTTTTATTTGTTACTTTTTGACGAACGTTGTGAGCTATTTTATCAAGACCACAAACTTCCTGCTTCGTTGTGAGCTTTTTTTGTGCAGGCAGTTATGTTAAGCAAGGCTCGCTTCGGTAGGAATGAAATTGGTCAGCTAAAATTTAATTTCAAATTACGTTAAAAAAATAATAAATCTCTCGCTATTTCACACTTTTCTTTTAAAAACAAATGAATGCTCAAAGCAATTTGAAGGTTGATAAAATTTTTGCTGCAATAATTCCGACTTTAACCCTTTCTTGCCGAGTGTCACAAATACGTGCCAGCGTGAAACGTTATCAATCGGGGTAAAAATGTAAAACTGGCAACCAACCTAATTTATGCTCAGTTAATTTGTGGGCTGGATTACAATAGTTTGATTTATTTAATTCATCACTGTTTTGTTCAAAATAAATAATTGTCTTATTTATACTGATTTTGATTTTATAAGAATGCTTTTATGAATCTCCCATTCCGAAGGAGTTTAATAGATTTGTGTCTGCTGTTTTAAGATGCGAAATATGTTTAAAAATTCGGAAAACCTTTTTACTAAGTACCAGAATGCATTTGAAAAATTATTGACGTATTTACTGTAGTTGAGAAAATGAAGTGTCATAAAATGGCTGCTTTATTGTTATTTCAAACTAATATTCATAATGAGCGATTATTCGTGTAAATCATCTCATTTAATGATATTATTCTGGGTACTTATTAATAATGATATTCAAATTGTGGTATATTGCTTATTCACTCATTAAGAAATCTAGGATCAGCATTTTTTCCCTTTTATCAACAAATTGTATTATTAAAAAGAAAACTTTATTGAGAAACAGATGCCTTTTTTTTTTTTTTTTTTTTTTTTTTTTTTTGGAGGAAGTGTTTAGCTAAATGGTGAGTTGGAAAATTTTCACGAGTTGAAAAAGTTCTAGCACTAACTTTTGCCCAAATGTAATTTTTGGGTGCAAAATTTCGTTCTAATTTGTAAATAGGAAACGCTATTTTACTAAAAGTGGTATCACACTCTAATCAACATTCTTCACTTTCAATACATAATACAGGGTATCCTAAATTCGACTAAATATTTTCAAAAATATTTTGTCTATAAGAATTTGTGTATGAGATTTTGTCTTTGCGATGCTTTGTCAGAGTTATATTTCTTTCTTGAAATTCTGCCCGCATAATATTTCGTCTGCAGGAGAATCTGCCCTCATGAAATTAAGTCTGTAGGAGATTCTGCCCTTATAATATTTAGTCTGTAGGAGATTCTGCCCGCAAGATATTTCGTCTGTAGGAGATTCTGCCACATGATATTTCATCTATAGGAGATTCTGGCATCGTGATATTAAGTCTGTAGGAGATTCTGCCCGCATGATATTTAGTCTGTAGGAGTTTCTGCCCGCAAGATATTTCGTCTGTAGGAAATTCTGTCCGCGTGATATTTCGTCTGTAGGAGATTCTGCCACATGATATTTCGTCTATAGGAGATTCTGGCAGCGTGATATTAAGTCTGTAGGAGATTCTGCCCGCATGATACTTAGTCTGTAGGAGATTCTGTCAGCTTGATATTAAGTCTGTAGGAGATTCTGCCACATGATATTTCGTCTGTAGGAGATTCTGGCAGCGTGATATTAAGTCTGTAGGAGATTCTGCCCGCATGATATTTAGTCTGTAGGTGATTCTGCCCGCAAGATATTTCGTCTATAGGAAATTCTGTCCGCTTGATATTAAGTCTGTAGGAGATTCTGCCCTCATGATATTTTATCCATAGAAAGTAACTGCATTATATTTGATCCCTAAAACAAAGTGTGCGCGATATGCATAATTTGTCTATGAAAGAACTCCCCTCTCCACGAAGTTTAAAGCCGTCTGCTGCTATGGAAGGAAGAAAAAGCGCATTTCAAAGAGGGGAGCTTCTTTCTCCCGATTTCCTTTTTCTCGCCAACCGGAGCCAAAACTTGTCGTAAATAATTATCCATCTCTTTGAAAAAATAG